GAGGAGGTAACAGAAGCACGAGGACTGGAGAAGCACGAGAACGGAGGACCACAGGGTGGACACTATGATGGGGAGAGGAAGGACGAGCATTAGAGGGGTGGCGGACCCAGTGGGGAAGAACTGGGGACTGGGGACGAGGGGGGATGGGGGACAAGTCAGGGGACTGAGGGGAGCATGTGGGAAAATGAGCCAAAGAGGAGTCCGAAGGAGGGAAGAACAGGCTGTAAACAAGGTCACGCACCGGAGGGGGAACTGGAAGGTGGACAGCGGAACCTGGAGCAAGGCCAAGGAGGCAAAGGGAAGACTGCAGCTGCTCCTACAGCGGCGGTTGTGCCTGCTGCTGCGGCTGCTTTTGCTGCTGCTGCTGCGGCGGCTGCTCCTTGTCCTCTCCAAGACCTCTAGTGGCACCGCGGCTGCCACTGGCACTCCTCGAGACAGCACCCCCAAGACGAGCACCCTCGGACGCACCACCCACAGAACCAGCACCCCTGGAGTCAGCACCCCCAGAACTCGCACCCCCAGAACCAGCACTCCCAACACCAACTCCACCAACACCAGCACCCCCAACACCAACACCGCCAACACCAGCACCCCCAGAGCCCATTGCTCCATGCTGCTGCTGCTGCGGCTGCTGAGTCTGCTGTGGCGATGGCTGCTACTGCTGAGGCAAGGGAGGAGGCGGCTGAGGTGCCTGGGGTACCGAGGCTGGGGGAGGCACGAAAGGGACAGCACGCGCGCCCCCAGCAGCTGGGCCCCCAGATTCAGCCGACTCCCCCCCACGCACAACCGAGGGGAACTGAGTGGCGTGGGAGACACCAGATTGGGCCGGGCGGGGCGGGAGGGGTGCGGCAGGCGGGGTAGAGACAAGGAAGAGAGGAGGAGGAGGCACAGGAGTGCTGCGGTGCAGGAAGCACCAGTAGTAGGGGAGCATCTCGTCGAAGGTAACGTCATGAGAGTGGTAAAAGTGGTGGTGTGACGGGTGGTAGAACAACCCATCAGAGGCGTCAAACGGAAACCCCAGGAAGACACAAGGAAGGGTGCGGGCTGAGAGCTTGTCCGCGCGAGTGTCGCGGACGTGAGCAAGGCTGCCCCAGACGTGGAACGCAGACGCGTCACCAGGAGACCTGGTCCAGAGGAGGGTCGGCGAAACCTATGGCTGCTGGGAGCACGGCCATAGGTTAAGCTGGTGAGCAGCGTAGCGCACGGCGAACGGCCACAGAAAATGGGGTGCACCGGCGAGGACCACAGGGGTACGAGCTACCTCCATGATCAGGTCAATGCATCGCTCAGCGACCTCATTCTGTTGTGGGGAGTCTAGCAGTGTGTACGTGTGGTGGATGCCCTCTGCACGACAGAACCTCCTAGAGTGCCAGAGGCGAGCTCGCCACCACGGTCAGAGTGTAAGTGACCTACAGGCAGGCGGTGGTGAGTGCGATCAGTAAGAAGCCACGAGAAGAGAACGGTAGGCACGTCAGCCTTCCGCTCCAACGGGAACACTGTGGTGAAGCGCGAGAAGTTGTCAACGATGACTAGAAAGTAGCACTCCTGACTAAGACCAGGGACCGGGGCAGGGCCCCAGACGTCCATGTGCAGTATCTGTAGTGGCGCTGTGGTAAGGGGAAACGAGGAGGAGTGAGGGGTGGCGCGCTGCCGACCCTCGACGCAGGACGTGCACAATGGCGCTACCGACGTAGGCAGGCGAGAAGCGACGCAAGGAGACTAGTGACTAGACCGTGCTGGGACATGTGCCTAAGACACGGGAGTGTAGGGTGACCTAAGCGGTCGTGCCACAAGTGTTGTCGGGTGGGCTATGGAGCGACAAGAGCAGGACGCGGCAACCGCAGCAGACGCAGCAGTCGGCGGGGACTCAGTGTGCAGTGTAAAGAGACCTGACGTTGGGTCATGCTCAAGCGTGGCTAAGTGCTGACTGTTGGCTGTGTCTATGCAAGCGGCGTGTCTCTCGCAGCCGAGGAACGTAGTGGTGACGCCTCGGTCCTGAAGCTGATCTACTAGGTTCCTAGCAAACAAGGGGATGTGCAGATCGGTGAGGGAGTCGGAGGGGACAGCTGGACAAGGGAGAGTGGTGGTGCTACGTACGAGACTTGTGGCAGAGGAATCTGCTAGTGCGACGCTGACAGGCATTGGAAGCGGGGTGAGAGTAGTACTGTCTCTAAAGAAGCAACGAGACGCACCCGATTCAAGGATAAAGGAGAGGGCCGCCGCAGGAGGGGCTGGGGAGGACCCTAGGGGATACGTAGTAGAGGCTCCTTGACTAGAGACAATGGTGGGACCTAGACCCCTAGGCCCCAAGACCCCCGGTCCTCCAGAGAAACCACACTGGCCCCAGGGCAGTGACCGCCACGGGGCCACACCTCTAGAGCATCCACCTTGCCCAGTACCCCAAAGACCCCACTGCGGTTGCTACCACTGCTGCTGCTGTTGCGGCTGCTGCTACTGCTGCTGCTGCTGCGGCTGCGGCCTTGGCCAGAATGCCCAGAAGCAGACGTCGATGTTGTGGAGCCAGAAGCCAAGGAGGTAACTAATGTCATCCATTAGGAGCGTGTAGTCTAGGTGCGGGCTCACCAGCTGTAGACGGTGGGCGAGAAATCAAAGAGCAGAGGGAAGTGCACGGCGGTCTGGCCTAGGAACGGACCCAAACGAGGCCATCATGCCGAGAGGAGAGGCATCGAGGAACTCTAGAAACAAGGAGGAGACTAGTGGGAGGCACTAGGTGCTAGAGGAGTACAATACGATGTAGTAGTAGTGGCGACTGTGGCTGGAGCAATGGCGACTATGGCCAGAGCAGTGGCAGCGAGCACGAGGCTAGTAGCTGCAGTGGCTAGTGACAGTAAGACGGCAGTAGCGGCTAGCTGGCGGCCAGCGGTAGGCTAGGAGCTACTAGGAGGAGTGGGGAGTAAACGAATAGGAAGTACGCGCGAGAGGATCTACTAGGAGCAGTACGCCGAGGAGCTAGCTAGGAGGCACTAGGACTGGCGGCACAAGGCAAAGGACAGTCCACAGGGCACGGGGGATGTACGGGGCAGGCGACCGACTGGCGGCTGGCGACTGGTGACTGGTGGCTGGCTGCTGGCGCTAGTGGCGCTGGTGAGACAGCAAGCTGGCTGCTGGCGATGGCTGGTGCTGGCAAGCTAGTTAGTGCTGGCTGCTGGCGTTGGCGAGCTGGCGCTGGCTGCTGGCTGCAAGCGCAGGTGGCACTGGTGGCGCTGGTGATCCAGAGAGCTGTCTGCTGGCTGCTGGCGCTGGCTGCTGGCACTGCTGGCAGGCAGGCGAGCAGGCGGGCGGGAGAGCTGGCGAGCAGGCGGGCTGGTGAGCAGACGAGAGGGCAAGCAGGCGGGCAGGTGAGCTGGCGAGTAGGCGTGCTGGCGAGTAGGCAAGCAGGTGGGCTGGTGAGCAGGCGCGCTGGCAAGCAGGCGGACTGGAGAGCAGGCGGGCTGGTGAGCAGACGAGTAGGCGGGCGGGCAAGCAGACGAACAGGTGAGCTGGCGAGCTGGCGGGCAGTCGAGCAGGCGAGTAGGCGGGCGGGCGATCAGACGAGCAAGCGAGCGTGCAAGCTGGCGAGTAGGCAGACTGGCGGGCTGGCAAGCAGGCGGGCTGACGAGCAGGCGGGCTGGCGGGCAGGCGAGCAAGCGAGCAGGCGGGCAAATGGGCTGGCGGGCTGGCGAGCAGACGAGCAGACAGATTGGCAAGTAGGCGAGCGTGCGAGCTGGCGAGTAGGCGGGCTGGCGGGCTAGTGAGCAAGCGGGATGGCGAGCAGGCGGGCGTGCGAGCTGGCGAGCAGGCACGCTGGCGGGCTGGCGGGCTGGCGCGCAGGCGGGCTGGCGAGCAGGCGAGCAGACGGGACGGCTACGAACTAAGGCGCTGGCAGGCTTGAGCGAGCTACGCGACGGAGAGGAGAGGGCGGGGAGGGGACGAGCTACGAGGCGCGCAATTAGGGCCGAGGCACGCTACTGGAGTGAGCTACGCGACGAAGAGGAGAGCGCGGGGAGGGGACGACTGGAGTGAGCTACGCCACGAAGAGGAGAGGGAGGGGAGGGCGGCGACTGGAGTGAGCTACGCGACGAAGAGGAGAGGGCGGGGAGGGGACGAGCTACGAGGCGCGCAATTACAGTAGGGCCGAGGCGCGCTAGGCTAGGGTGTGCTAGGGCGGAAGAGTGAGTTGAGGGCGATGCCTAGCTCTAGATTGCATGTTAGATTGTCGAGAGAATGATAAACTAAAAGAAAATGTCGAGGGTTACAAAGGTAGGACTGTACTCTCTAAAAACTTACCTAACTAAGGCTATAACGAATATAAACTAGCCAGCCTAGATAATTATATGTGTTGACATATTTTGCCGTCGGGTTTCAAGTACGTGTCTGGTCTGACGTCGTATGTGTCATATCTTTTGCTCTACATTGATGTGCGATTTTTCCGAATGCCATGTAGCTTATGAGACTATTCGCAACCTATCAATGCCACTAGAATGGGTTTGAGAGGCGGTTTCCCATAAAGTGTCACTCATGATGCGCTATGGTCCGCCTTCGCTCTCAAGTACATGTTTGGTACTTGGTGAAAACCAAAAACTGAAATGGTGTGCCATAAAAAACATCTTGATATACAGCTCCTCAAGCCTTTTTTGCTAGACTTGTGAGGGCATGCTTATGAGATGCCCTAAGATCTTTTTTTTCCCCATTCCTGGTTGGTTTAGAGGCTCATGAGTTTGTGGATTATTGCTCAAATTCAAATGGATTATGGGTATGAGGGTTTAGGGTTTATGCTAAAGTCTTCGAATGTAGACTAATGATCGTGTAGAATACTGTTCAAATGGATTTACCTGGAGCACAAATGAGCACAAAATAATGTTTTGTTATGCAATCTGAAGATTGGTTGTGTTTAACTTTCTTCTTGTAGTGTGCTAAACTTCGTTTAATCGGGCTAGTATCGCAATTTTCTGCACCGAGTCCTTCATCAGCTTCCTTCGCCTCCCCTTTTTTGTGGCTAGCCACAAACCCTACACCTTTCTCTCGGCTCTCTGACTAGTTGTCAGGGTGTCCAGCTAGCTTCCCCCGCTATTTCGTTCCTCGTCCCTTAGGTCGATAGCAGCCATGTCTGACGAGGAGCACCACTTCGAGTCCACCGATGCTGGCGCATCCAAGACGTTCCCGCAACAGGCTGGAGCTATTCGCAAGGGCGGACATCTTGTAATCAAGGGACGGCCTACCAAGGTACGCAACGAAGGATCCATGTTGGATCAGGTGCCTTAAGTTCGCTCGCTTACGCCTACCCCTTTGTTCTTCTTAGGGGTACAGCTACGTTATGGTTCACAAGCTTGTCATCTTTTTTATGTTGGAACATTCAACAGGTTGTGGAGGTTTCCACCTCTAAGACTGGGAAGCACGGTCACGCCAAGTGCCATTTCGTCGCGATTGATATATTTACCAATAAGAAGCTGGAAGATATCGTGCCGTCTTCTCACAACTGCGACGTGAGTTTTGTTTGGAGAGCAGTGTTTCGCTGGTCGTGTCGATGTTTCTCACCCATCTTTTCCGGGTCTTCAGGTTCCAGAAGTGGTGCGTACCGACTATCAACTCATCGATATTTCGGAGGATGGCTTCGTAAGTGCCTACTGTTTGTGTCATGCCGCGCTTTCTGGATTTCATTCGCCATCCTGATAGCTGGCGACGTGTTGCCTCAGGTATCCCTTCTGACCGAGTCGGGTGACACGAAGGACGATCTTCGTCTTCCGACCGATGAGGCCCTCCTCTCACAGGTACGGTTTTCTTCATCTGAAAGGGCACTGCTGTGTATTCTGTTCTATGCGTTCAATGACATGCGCAATTATACTCTTGAATCCCGTGCAGATGAAGGATGGTTTTGCAGAAGGCAAGGACCTTGTGGTTACTGTTATGAGCGCTATGGGCGAGGAGCAGATATGCGCTGTCAAGGAAATTATGGGGAAGTAGTTATATTTGTCTAACGTTGCAGCATAAAATTTCTACCATATGCGAGGTTCCGCGTTACGGTTTCCGATGCCAAAGCGGGTTTGGATATAGATATTATGAACCAAACACTGGCCTAGCAGGTAGTAGTTGAAGTAATAAGAAATGATAATACTGTAGTAATTTGTGGCGTCCTACAATTTGTTGCAGACATTGCTCGAGCCCTCGCTCTACACAACGCCCTCGTGCCCTGGGAAATACGGACTCGGTGGGCAAAGAGCCAGCCAACGCACGTCCCTAAGACGGTTTGGAAGGTAACTTTCGGGTGTATCTGCTGGCCGTCAATGCTGGTTGAAGCCGACACCATCACAGGTCTACGTTACGTTTTCAAGGCACCTCAAGGCCGCAGTTCAGCAGCAGCAGCAGCAGCAGCAGCAGCAGCAGCAGCAGCAGCAGCAGCAGCAGAAAACTACTCTCGGACTTACCGCGTTCTTGTCTTGGCTTAGAGGCACCCGTAATGGCGTCGGCTGTGCAACCGCTAAAGGGGGATTCGGTGGCACCGTTTGCGAGCATAGGGACTATGGCTGCTGCATTATTTGAAGAATCCGACGTCCACACCTCTCGGGTCTCTGCGTATTCCGACCGCGTTGTTGCAGTGCGCGACGCATTCAAACTACTTTACGGCGAAGAGCCTATGCTGGTCTCTCGTGCACCAGGTATGTCGCACAGTATTTCTTAGCAGTCCAGAGAGATCTCTCATTTATGCAGACGGGTGTGGCCCTCAGGTCGTCATCGCCTTGGCGCTGAGTGACGTACACGCCGCATGTGTGAGCCGGACTGACCGCAGGGCGTGTGAACCTCATCGGCGAGCACATTGACTACGAGGGCTACGCGGTGCTGCCCATGGCCATTCACCTCGACACCCTCGTCGCCATCCGCTGCGTGCCGCCGACCTCGAGCGTGGCGGCTCCTGCGGGTAAGGAGGGCTCGCCTTCCCCGCCTCGCCTGCGCGTGGCCAACATGGACCCCGCCAAGTACCCTGCCGTGGAGTTCAGCATCGACGCCAGACAGGTGACATGAACCTCACCCCCGACCCGTCCTGGCGACGCCCTGCTGCGCTTCAGGTCAACCACGTGCCTTGCTCATCTGTCTCACTATGCATGCTGATTCAGCAGGGGTAAAATTTCTCTGTATCGTTGAAACACGTTGTATACTTTGCCACGCACAATGTTGTGTTCATTGCCTAGCAGGAAGTCGACACAAACAACCACAGCTGGGGCAACTACTTCCTCTGTGGGTACGGTTTCTCGTCCACTGCGATATTGCTGCCTTTTGTTTTCTGAAGCGTTCACATGCACAACAAATGCAGCTGCGGTAGCTGATTGCAAGGTTTGGACCATGGGATCTTTTTTGTTTTCTGAACGAAGTAATATCACATGCTTAAGAGCATATTATTACTCACCTCCGTTCCTTTTCATGCCTTACACTTGTGTGCAACCAGATACAAGGGTGTTTGGGACCACGTGCATGAGACTGGGTGTAGAGAGCAACCAACTTCTGGGCTTGATGTGCTTGTGGATGGCTGCGTGCCTCTTGGTGAGGAGAGCGTTGCCCTCCAATTCCTTTTCAAGCGTATCATGCTCCATGTCTCCATGGTCTGTATTCACTATCACCTGATCCTGATGTCTGTTGCATTTTCCATAAATTCGCTACTTAAACCCGTGCTGGCCATTTGTCTCATGCACCACTGTGTCCAGGGTCCGGCCTGTCCAGCTCAGCGGCCCTCGTGTGCTCGTCTGCCATCGCTGTCATGGCCGCCCTAGGATTCGCCTTCCCCAAGGTGCTGCCCACCTCCTCCTCCACACCTCCTCAACTGTCTGCTCGCATCCCTTCCCCTTCTCCAACTATCTTTTTTTTTGTTTCTGTTTTTTTCAAAAATACACCAGGCTCAATTTTTCCCTCTGATTGCGCTGTGTCCCTCTCAGGCGGAGATAGCTGACCTGGCATGTCGATGCGAGCGGTACATTGGCACTCAGTCTGGTGGCATGGACCAGGTGACCTCTTAGCCAGGCTTTAACTCCCCTCCCCAAGTGCTCCTTGTTTAAGAGGTGAAGGGGGCACAGCACATGTAACGAGCGTGGAGAGGGTAAGTGCAAGAGCAGCCTAGCAGGAAGGCCAAGGGTGAGTGCACCTTGTGCAGCGGGGTGATTCCCGAGGTATGGGTTTAGGATAAGCGAACAGAAGGAGCGGGGGAAAGGGGGGTGTGAAGCTCTTGAACAGCAGCTACACCTGAATGGGATAACTCGGGGTCTATGATACCAACTGCACAGTCAGCTCAAACTTCCCCATCTCTCTCTCTCTCTCCCTTCGAGCAACAGACATGTCCTCTGTTGCTCTTCTTCCCTCACTGCTTCCTCCTTATGCGCCCGCCTTCTCTCAGGCCATTTCCATATTCGGAGAGCGCGGCGTGGCGCAGCTGATAGAGTTCAACCCGGTGAGGGCGCACCCGGTTCCGCTGCCTGCCGCCGCCGTCTTCGTGATCGCCAACTCGCTGGCCGTCTCCAAGAAGGCCGAGACTGCCGCCACCAACTACAACCGCCGTGTGGTTGAGTGCCGCCTCGCCGCCGTAAGTCGGGCAAGGAGTGGACCGCGTGTGGCTGTGTTGTTGTGCTCGTTGAGAATACCTGTGACGCTGCAGTCCACACCACACATGTGTGGTGCATTTGTGTTGAGTCCAATCTTTTCAGTCTAGGTCTATGCCTTCATCACCGTGAGTGATTTTCTTGTGCTGGGCAACCGATTTCTTCCGCCATGCCCCCAGATGGTCCTTGCAGTGCGGCTGGGCATGGACCCCACCACGGCACGCACGTCCATCACCACGCTGGCAGACGTGGAGGCCCTCTGTGCAGGAAGCAGTGCGGCGCCACAGCCAACACAGGAGCATGCTGCATTGGAGGCTGTTCGAGTGAGTGCTGGCCGCCGCGGAGTGCATGCCATGTTTGCTCCTTCTGGTGGGGGGGAACCGATAAGACAGGGTTAAAGTGCGATGCGATAATATCGCATCGCACTGGCTACGATAGCGATTAATATCGCGCGATATTATATCGCATCGCCTACGATATAAATCTTGGAAATCCGATATCGCATATCGCATTTCAGGTGCGATATATGACTATATCGCATTTGAAAATGCGATGTATCGCGCGATGCGATTAAATACCGCATCGCGTCGCGTCTAGGGGCCACTGTTTTCCTGCCCTAATAAAGCATGTTGTTCCCACACCACAGAGCACGACAATGGCGGCTCTCCTAGGTTTGCGCGGAATTAGGTAAGTGAACTGACGGGAGATGGGAATATTGTGGTCCCTCTCTCATGTGGAGCGTGTTAGAGGGGAAGGGGTTGGATTTTGTAGATGCAGGGGAGTTTAGTGCAGTTGAAGTGGTGAAAATTGGTTGGAGTTCCAACCAATTACCTTTGGGGGTCGAAAGTTCAGTCCAACCCCCTAAATCCCTTCAACCGCACACCACCACATCCCATCCAGAAAACCCACTCGCCCACCGCCCACCACCATCCATAACAAAACTGAACCTCCACCCAACTCCCCTCCCTCAACCGCACTGCACTCCTTCCCATCTAGAATTTCCAACCCTTCCTCTAATGTGCTCCAAGCTCTGCTCCTCACAAACACCTCCCCCCAAGCTCTGCTCCTCACACAAACACCTCCCCCCAAGCTCTGCTCCTCGCACAAACACCTCCCCCCAAACTGCCACTTGCCATTTCCACGCGCCATTTCAGCAAGAGAAAGCTAGACTAGCTTACCCTTATCTATTTACGCTAAGTTCAGGGTCCGCGCCCATCTCTCCCCCCCCCCTTGCTGGCGAAATTCCGCGACGCGATACGCGGAAATATCGCATGTGATATCAACTATCGCATATCGCATTCATATCGCGGGTAAGAAACCGCGATATTAATGCGATATCAAAATACCGCGCGATATTCATCACATCGCCAGGAGCGATATAAAGTAAAAAAAAACAGTATCGCTATCGCAAAAAAGCGATATATGCAATATAATATCGCACAATGCGATGCCATATATCCACCCCTAAAACCCTAAACCCGATACATGGGACAATGGCTCAGTGTTATCAGTGTCACTGCAACAGACCGTGTGTCCATGCTGCCTTGGTTCGCTTGCCCTCCGCCACTCCCTTTCCTCCAGCGCTGTCTGCACGCGGACCCCTACAGCGCATCAGAGATCGAGGGTGTACTTGAGGCGCCCCTTGCTTCTGTCTTTGCCCACTCGCCAACGTCTCTTGCTGTCATTGCTGCTGCCTCCACCTTCAAGCTGCAGCAGGTGTGCTCGCCCATCCAGCAAGCCTTGGCGGTCAGCAGCCAACAAGGGTTGCTTCAGTGTGATCATTGCTGCTCGCCTTCTATTTCGTTGGGTGCATGTTGCATCCTATCTAAGTATTGCATATCTGCATGATTTCCTGGAGCCTTGGTTTTGTGCTGTGCATGCTTGGCCCATGCATGCCGTGCACCCACATGCACGAGTGTGATTGTGTGTGCGTATGCGTGGATGCCCCCTCCTTGCGCCCACCCGCATGACTGCAGAGGGCTCTTCATGTGTATGCGGAAGCTCGTCGCGTCTTTGCGTTCAGGGATGCTGCTCTCTCTACACCTCCTGACTCGTAAGCCTCCATCCGTTCCTATCCCATAGCACCTCATCGGTTCTTTTCTTGAGTGGAACATGTGCCCTGTCCCTGCAACTCCGCTTCTTCCTCTCAACAGCTGGTGCATGTGGAGGGGAAGCAGGACACATGAGCGTCACCTGAGTCTGGTGCTGATCGAGTAGAACCAGCTTTTATTCACGCCTGCTAACGCATCACCTGCCTCATGCTGCCCGTTGTTGTCTCTTACATGCGGGCTGCCTGCATTCGTTACAGATGTGGAGGGTTCTTCTGCCGTCCCCCCTCGCCCCGTCCCACTCGTCATCCCTCCCCTCTCATCCATCCCAACCCGTTTCTTCTTCCAGCATACTTTCCCCCATCGGTTCCCTTTCCGCGACCTGACCATGGGTTCATGAATCTGTCCGTCACGCTTCTCATGTGCTTGTCTGCCTCCTCCTCGCTCTTTCGCCTCCGCCACAGTGGTCTGGCTTTTGTGCCATGCCTGAGTGCTGTCGCCATGTTTCCCCGTCTGTTCCATCCATGCTGCCTGCTGCAGCGCTGCACCCCCCTCATCACCAGTTCCCTCCGTGCTGCTGTCTCTCGGTCGCCTCATGGATGACAGCCATGCCAGCTGTCGCGACCTCTATGAGTGCAGGTGACGTCTATGAGTGCAGGTGACGTCTATGAGTGCAGGTGACGTCTATGAGTGCAGGTGACGTCTATGAGTGCAGGTGACGTCTATGAGTGCAGGTGACGTCTATGAGAGCAGGTGACATCTATGAGGGCAGGTGACGTCTATGAGTGCAGGTGACGTCTATGAGTGCAGGTGACATCGATGAGAGCAGGTGACATCTATGAGGGCAGGTGACGTCTATGAGTGCAGGTGACGTCTATGAGTGCAGGTGACGTCTATGAGTGCAGGTGACGTCGATGAGTGCAGGTGACGCCTATGAGTGCAGGTGACGCCTATGAGTGCAGTTGATGCCTATGAGTGCAGGTGATTTATGTGTGTAGGTTGGGCATGAGTTAGACGGTGAGGCATGGCAGGCACCGGGGCGTTAGGAGCTGGAATGAGGAGGCAGGCACCAGGGACACACAGAGCGCCACAGAGACTCTTTGGCATCCAAGGGGCTGGACACATGCAGGAGGTTGCTGTTGTCATTGTCTGCGCCTCTGCATTCAACTCTCCTCTCCCCTCAGTCAGTGTACCCAATCCAGCTGTGTGCATGGCCCCCTGCCCCTCTCCCCCTCCCCCCCCCCCCCCCCCGATGTGCCTCAGCTCCCCCGAGCTGGAGCAGCTGGTGGCGTGCTGCAAGGCGCACGGCGCCCTTGGAGCTCGCCTCACGGGCGCTGGGTGGGGCGGGTGCGTGGTGGCGCTGCTGCTCGCACAGCAGGCAGACAGCTTCGTGGAGCAGCTTAAGGTACCGGCGCTCACTTCCCAGCGTGCCCTCTCATGCCACTGTGCCCTCTCATGCCACTGTGCCCTCTCATGCCAGCTTGCCCTCCCATGCCAGCTTGCCCTCTCATGCCAGTGTGCCCTCTCATGCCAGCTTGCACTGCCACCTGTACACTGGATAGGCCCTGCGGTGCAAAGAGTGTTAAGTGAGGCTGGATGGTAGCACCTCTTCACCTCTAGTGCTCATAGCACTCGCTTGCTCCCCTGCTGCCTCTTACCTCACTGCAGGCAGACTACTACGCACCCAAGATCTCTGCAGACACCATCACTGCTGCCGACCTCCCCACCTGTGTCTTTGCTTCACACCCTGCAGCAGGGGCAGCCCTGCTCAAGCTGTGACCACCCACACAACGTCCCTCTCCTGATTCGTTTAGTAGCATGTGTTGTGGGGTTGCCCCTAACAAATTTTGTGAAGTTTATATTTTGCTGCCACGTCACTGCTGGAAAACGAGTGTTGTGCAATAGTCATGATGAAGCCAGACCCACATGGCCCTAGGCATGAGTGAAGCTAGGGCCACATGCCCCTAGACATGAGTGAAGCGAGGGCCACACGCCCCTAGGCATGAGTAAAGCTAGGGCCACACGCCCCTAGACATGAGTGAAGCGAGGGCCACACGCCCTTAGGCATTAGTAAAGCTAGGGCCACGCGCTCCTAGGCATGAGTAAAGCTAGGGTCACACACACGCCCCTAGGCATGCGTAAAGCTAGGGCCACACGCCCCAGCACCACAGTTGGCAGCACCAGGCATCCGTGCCAGCGGCCGTTGGTCCCACCACCTCTGCCCTGCCTGCTGCACTACTGCCTCCCCCTCCTCTGCCTCTCGCGCCTCGCCCCTGCAACCGTCACTGGGGCTGGCAGCAGCAGAGGGCGAGGCATGCGGGGGGCGGGCCAGGCACACGGCCTGCCAGTGGGAGTCGGGGTCAGGCGCGGGCAGGGGGGTGGGTGTGAAGCGCGTGCAGCGCGGCACAGCAAGCATGTCGTGCCGTGCCTCAGCGATGGCCACGCACAACAGCAGCGCCAGGGGCACCGACTCCTCCTGCGCCACCTCCACCACGCCCCCGCTCCAGCTCAGCAGCGCTGTCGCACACGCTGCCCCACCCCCTGGCGCGTAGCGAATGAGCGTGGCAAAGCCGTGCTCCTCTGAGGCCGGTGCACCGGGCACGCAGTAGGAGAGGTGGCGACCAGGCAGCAGAGCAACCTGTGTGCGACATGGGGTAGAATGGGGAGAACGGAGGTGGAGAGAAGGAGACTGATGGGTATGGGAAAGGGACTGAAGTGGTTAGCCATTGGGATCATTTGAAGGAAGTCAAGCTCATGGCCTACAAAGAGGCTGCAGTGCCTGCCCTCCTCACCTGCAGCCTGCCCTCCTCACCTGCTGCCTGCCCTCCTCACCTGCTGCCTGCCCTCCTCACCTGCTGCCTGCCCTCCTCACCTGCTGCCTGCCCCACTCACCTGCTGCCTGCCCTCCTCACCTGCTGCCTGCCCTCCTCACCTGCTGCCTGCCCTCCTCACCCGCTGCCTGCCCTCCTCACCTGCTGCCTGCCCTCCTCACCTGCTGCCCGCCCTCCTCCTGCAGCTCCAGCTGCAGCGACCCTTGCACCAGCGCCCCATTCACCGCTCTGCACCGCACTCTCAGCTCCGCCGTCGCCCCACCGGGCAAGCACCCCACCAGTGCAAACCGCGCCATCAACTCCTCCCCTCCTCCCGCCCCTCCCCCATCCTGCTCCCCTTTGCCTTTTCTGCTGTGCGCCCTTCCCCCCTCCCCCCCTGCAGCCCACTTCACGCCCCCCAGTCGCGGCACGGCCTGCGCAACCACTGGCCCGCGGCACGCCCCCACGCGCTCATGCAGGGGGTCGCAGAGGGGGAAGGGCGTGGCGTCCGTGCACACGTAGCTCCACCCACCCTGCACCATGGGGAAGGTGGGGGTGACAGTTCTAGTGGCGAGAGTAGTGCGCAGGGCGATGAGTGCCAAGTGGTAAGGGATGGGTCGTGATGACAAACTAAGAGGTGAGTCCAGAAGCCACAGACGAGCTATGAGTGACAACTCACAGAGAAGATCTGGTGCAGCAGAGAGCAGCATGCAGCAAATAGCAGCACCTGATGCAGCAGACAGCAGCACCTGATGCAGCAGACAGCAGGGTTTAGGTTCACCTGATGCAGCAGACAGTATCACACGCTGCTATCACCTGATGTGGCCTGGTATTCTCACCTGATGCAGCACAATCGCCCGCTCTGTTGGCTGGACTGGCTTTGGACGCTTGTGGTCTAGCCACACTCCCTCGGCCACTCTGGGCCAAAACGGACAAGAGAAGGAGACGGGCAGGGATGGTGAGGGGGGGGGGTGGGGGTGGGTGTGGGAGGGGGAAGGGTGGGGGAGATAGAAGGGGATTGTGAAGGGAGACATAAGGTAGCGAAGCCTACGGTATGGAAAAGCGTGGACTGGTATTATGGGGGCAGAAGTGAGTTGCCACAATTCCAAGGGTGAGGCGAGGAATGGTGTCAGGTGACACATAGAGGGACGATAGGCACACACGGACAAGCATGGGGATCTGCAGCGAATTCGAAGGCAGCTGATCCATAGAACGAATTGCATGTGCCACAGCACATGCGTTGCCTCGCACCGTGTGCCACAGCACATGCCTTGCCTCTCACCGTGTGCGGATCACAAACGCCTCCATGCCCCTGTGGTCCAGCACGGTGCGTGACACCCATCGTCCCGCCTGCTCTGGACACTCACTCACACACACACACACACACACACACACACACGATCACACACACGATCACACACACACGCACACACACAAAATCACTCACATGCAAGAACCCACCCAACCATGCACACTCGCATGCGCACACATTGAAGGAACAGCATTGGAGCATCCTGTCATACTCTGCCTTAATGACTCTCTTCATCCCCTCTCGTTCCTACCCACTTGCCCACCCATCCACCTCTCTGTTGGATTCACCTGAGGGCGGCGCTGAGCCAGGGCAGCGCACACCATGGCCCCGCTGTCATCTGACCCACGCATGAACACGCAGCGCAGCAGGAAGGGCGCCGCCGTGGCGGGGGTCAGCGACACGCCCACCTGCAGCGCTGCCACCCCCGACGCCCACGGCCCCCTGCCACCGTCCCCCCCCATCCCCTCCACGCCCCCCTGCGCTGCTGTGCTCGCTGCCGCTTCTCCACTGCCTGCAGCAGCTGCAGCCTCCGCAGTGCGAGGCGCGGTGGCGATGCTGTCGAGAGCGGGTGGGGAGCCGGGGGGGGCGAGGGGCAGGCGGCCATGGAGCAGCAGCGCTGGGTGCAGCCGCAGGTGGTGCCAGGTGAGGGCGGCCGCGCCCAGCACGCGGGGGGCGGGGGGGGAGAGCCAGGGCAGCAGCGAGGAGAGCAGCGAGGGCGAGTGTGCGTGCAGGCGCAGCAGCACCCCCTGCGACGCCACCTCCGCCTGCAGCGAGAAGCGGTGCTGCCAGCGCGGCGGGGGGCACGACGGGTGGAAGGGCAGGGCACGCGTGTGAGCGGAGAAGGCAGGGGCGGCGTGCAGCGCGGAGAGGCAGACAGAGAGGGAGTCGGGGGCGGGCAGCTGCAGCCCGCGCACGGTGGTCACCGTGAGGTCCACCTCCACCACGCTGCGCCGCCACAGCCCCAGCCCCGCATTCGCCTCGCCCGCACACACCCACCTCCCCACTCCCACGCCCCGCTCCACTGCCCCCTGCCCTCCTCTGCCTTCTCGTCCCACTCCTTCCTTGCTTGCATCTGCTTCTGCCGAATCCCCTGCCAGCTGCTTCTGCTGCTGCTGCTGCTGCTGCTGCTGCTGCTGCCTCTCCACATCCGCACCGGCAGCAGTGGCTGCCCCCTGGGTCCGTGCCATGGAGCCGTCATCCTCTGCTGCCTGCACTGTGGCTGCCTGCTGCTCTGCACCCATAGCTGTCTGCGGCACGGGCACGGGCAGAGGCAGGAACTCAGAGGCAGCAGCAGGCACGCCCCCCCGCCGCATGGCCCCCGCGCGGGCAAAGGGCACTGCGAAGGTACGCTCCCACAGCGCTGCCGTCGCCACGTGCGCCGCCTCCAGACGCCGGGCGGCACGTGGTGGCGAGGAGGAGGCGAGGGTGGAGGGAGAGCAAGCGAGTGCGGCAGAGGGAGGGAGGGCTGGGGTGGGCACGTGGGAGTCGTCGTGGCCGATGAGGCGCCCCATGAGGTGGTGACAGTCAGAGGCATACACGCGCGCACACATCTGATAAGAGGGAGAGCCCGCCGGGCAGAGCGAGGGGAGGGATGAGACAAGGGGAATGATAAGTTGAGCGATGATGAGGGAAGAGCAGAGGTCATTAACATGCACATGTGCCATATGTCCATGCAGTGCAAGTTACCAGAGCAAAGTATGCATGCTACCATGTGGGCATGCTACCATGTGCGCATGCTACCACGTGCGTGTGCTACCATGTGCGCATGCTACCATGTGTGCATGCTACCATGTGCACATGCTACCATGTGTGCATGCTACCATGTGCACATGCTACCATGTGCGCATGCTACCATGTTCGTGTGCTGCCATGTGCACATGCTACCATGTGCGCATGCTACAATGTGCACGTGCTACCATGTGTGCATGCTACCATGTGCGCGTGCTACCATGTGCGAGTGGTACCATGTGTGCATGCTACCATGTGCGCGTGCTACCATGTGCGCATGCTACCATGTGCGCATGCTACCATGTGCGCGTGCTACCATGTGTGCATGCTACCATGTGCGCGTGCTACCATGTGCGGGTGCTACCATGTGTGCATGCTACCATGTGCGCGTGCTACCATGTGCGGGTGCTACCATGTGTGCATGCTACCATGTGCGTGTGCTACCATGTGCGCATGCTACCATGTGTGCGTGCTACCATGTGCGCGTGCTACCATATGTGCATGCTACCATGTGGGTGTGCTACCATGTGCGTCTGCTACCATGTGCGTGTGCTACCATGTGTGAATGCTACCATGTGCGCGTGCTACCATGTGTGCATGCTACCATGTGCGCATGCTACCATGTGCGCGTGCTACCATGTGCGCGTGCTACCGTGTGTGCATGCTACCATGTGCGCATGCTACCATGTGCGGGTGCTACCATGTGTGCATGCCAGAGCAGGTCGATGTCGTAGGTGGGGGTGAGCAGCGTCCCTGGGTTGCTCTTCACGAGGCTGAGGAACATGCGGTACCGCTGCACCGACCCCCTCAGGTACGCCCGCTGCACCATCCATGGCCGCTCCACCTGTCACCGCACATGCAGCATGTGGCGTGGGATGGCATGGGGATGGTATGGGATGGCATGGGATGGCATGGGATGGAGCGATGAGAGTGGAGAGCGGTGTGGTTGATTGAATGGCCACCGGCTGCTAGCGCAGTTGGCCTCGCCTCACCTGGTACCAGAACCCTCTCTGTCGCACCACTGCAGCCCTCAAATCGTACTGCAGACGCCGCCCCACCGCTGCCCCTTCTGCTGCCCCTTCTGCTGCCCCCTCTGCTGCCCCCTCTGCTGCCCCCTCTGCTGCCCCCTCTGCTGCCCCTTCTGGGTCTGCCCTGCCCTCTGCCCCTGCTGCTGCCAGCACTGGCACCAAGGTTGCCGCCTCTGGCTCGCTCTCATCCACATCTGAGCCTGAGCCGTTCCCCTCGCCCCTCGGCCCGCCACCACCTGCGCTGCTGCACCTCGCTGTTGCGCCCTCATCGCAACACCCAATGCCATCCCCGTGCTCTGCCACCTCTCCCCTCTCCGCCCCCCCTTGCTCCGCCTCTCTCGCCCCGCCGCACTGCTTCCTCCCCCGCGCGCCCCCACCATCCTCTTGGTGCGGGTCACACCGCATGGCCTGGGAACGCCGCGGCATGCGCAGGAGGTCATAGGGCTCGTCTGGGAACAGCCTTCCCCACACCTGCCGACATGCCGCCTCCGCTGCTGCCCTCCCACCCATGCTGCCGCTGCGGCAACCAGCACGGGTGCCAGCAAATGAATCCTCGTTATAGTCACCCTCACTGGTGTCAAATACAGCTTGGTCCACTAGGCGACCCACAATGGCTTGGCAGTCGTCCTTATATGCCTCCTGTCTCGATCATCCATGCATGCATCCACACCACCATGCATGCATCCACACCACCACGCATGCATCCACACCACCACGCATGCATCCACACCACCATGCATGCATCCACAGCACCATGCATGCATCCACAGCACCATGCATGCATCCACACCACCACGCATGCATCCACACCACCATGCATGCATCCACACCACCATGCATGCATCCACACCACCATGCATGCATCCACACCACCATGCATGCATCCACACCACCATGCATGCATGCATCCACACCACCATGCATGCATGCATCCACACCACCACGCATGCATCCACACCACCATGCATGCATCCACACCACCATGCATGCATCCACACCACCATGCATGCATCCACACCACCATGCATGCATCCACACCACCACGCATGCATCCACACCACCATGCATGCATCCACACCACCATGCATGCATCCACACGACCATGCATGCATCCACACGACCATGCATGCATCCACACCACCACGCACGCATCCACACCACCATGCATGCATCCACACCACCATGCATGCATCCACACCACCGTGCATGCATCCACACCACCATGCATGCATCCATACCACCATGCATGCACACGCGCACGCACAGACATGGCAAGGACAGTTGGTGGTGCGGCGCGGGATGGTGTGATGGAAGGAATGGGTCCTTGGGATCGAGGGCAGGGCGCCACCAACAATGGCAAAGCAGGGGGGCGGGAGCAATGCAAGGAGGTGGGGAGGCACGAGCACGCAGTGCAGTGGGCAGCATGGAGGGCTTTAGGGCAGCATGGAGGGCTTTAGGGCAGCATGGAGGGCTTTAGGGTAGCATGGAAGGCTTTAGGGCGACACCACAGACAGCATGGAGGGCGACACCACAGACAGCAGCCAGCGCCATATGGGGCTGGCCTACCACCCCCCACCCAGCAGCATTGCCAGCAACTTTGGCGGCAGTGCGAGCAGCACCACAGGCAGCGGTATAAGCAGCAGCTTTGGCAACAGCACGCAGCAGCACGCAGCAGCATGGAGAAGCATGGAGCAGCATGGAGCAGCACGCAGCAGCATGGAGCAGCATGGAGCAGCATGGAGCAGCACTGGCAGCAAGTGACATACGGGGTTGAGGCGGTGGCAGAGCCACACCCACTCCACGTCCACGGGCGGCATCAGGCGGCACAATTCGTCATCACTCAGCCTCCCAGCCAGCTGCAACCAGCAGCGCTCGTACCTGTGCTAGAGGGACGCACAGCGTGGGGAGGGGCGCAAGTGGGGGGAGTGCGGCTTTGGCGGGCGAGGGCGCATGGCTTTGAACGGACGGAAGCACGGGGTCCAGAAGGGGGAATGTGGGCCTCCGCCCTGGAAGGGGCGCGGTGGAAGGGGCGCGGTGGAAGGGGCGCGGTGCAAGGGGCGCGGTGGAAGGGGCGCGGTGCAAGGGGCGCGGTGGAAGGGGCGCGGTGGAAGGGGCACGGTGGAAGAGGCGTGGTGGAAGGGGGAGCGCGGAGCGCGTGCCTGCAGATGGCGCGGTCGAGCGTCGGCTCGCCATGGAGCCCGCCGTGCGCGTGCACGCGTCGCAGCAGCGCCACCAGGTGCCGCGCCGCTGCCGCCACGTCCGCCGACACGCGCACCCCCTCCACTGCGCGCCACGCCCGCGCCACCTCCGCCTCATCCTCCTCCTCCGCCAGCAGCGGCCGCTCCGCCGCCATCCCCGCGAGGGGGTCGCGGAAGCAGAGCAGCGCGAGGGGCAGTCGGGCTGGCTGTGAGCGCGGGGGACTGGCGGCGTTCAATGTGTGCGCGCGGGGCGCGAGCGCGCATGACTGGTGTTGCAAGCACGTTGAGGAGAGCAATGTATCCAACAAGTCCAGCGCGCGCCGATTGGAGTACGCGGTAGAGTGAGGTGTGGTGGCACGTGACGCGGTAGAGTGAGGTGTGGTTGCACGTGACGCGGTAGAGTGAAGTGTGGTTGCACGTGACACGGAGCAACAAGCTGAATGCGGTGCGGCCCCACCAGGCGACGCCGTCAGAAAAAGGGCCAAGTGAGCCCTGCGCGCGGCAGCTGTGTCAAACGGCGCAGCCGTACAGTACTTCCCTTCGTTCTCTTTTGCCACATGTTTGAGTGCTTGTTATTATTATTATTAACTAATCAGAGTAATAACAGGTAGTGTAATAAATGAGTCGATTCAATAGTGTCGATACAAATGAGGGCCTATGCATTTATAGGCACGAACAGAGCTAACCGAGAACCACACGAACAGGTTGGGACGGTCCGGTTGGCAAAAGCCACGGAAGCGCCACGCGTCTAGGTTTGGGTTCACGAAATGGTTCGGGACCGAAGAAGTTGGCCGAGCCTAGACTTCCGAGAGTCGAGGGTGTACGTGCTGTAGTCGAGCCCAGTAAGGGAAAGGGAATTTCCTTACACCACCCCCCCTTCCGGGATGAGACTACCCACATCCGGGACACGTCGTCGGTGTAAATAGTCCTCGACGACTGTATGTGCACCGAGCATAGCTGCAGGGACCCAAAGATCGTTGTCGGTCGTGCGATTGACCCATCGTACAAGGAAATCAACGGCTGCTGTATCTCGATGGCCTCGTACGCGATGAGCGAGAATCTTTGACGGCTCGATCGTTGGCTCAGGAACTGGGTTGACCGTAGGATTGATGTGTTGACGGTCGAGATTAGTCGTACTCATGATGAACGGTCGCTGGAGACTGACGTGAAATGAATCATGGATTCGCCAGTCGGCCGGCAGTTGCAGCTGGGCGGTGACTAGTGTCACCATGCGGATGATACGGAATGGGCCGCAAAATCTTAGTCGTAATTTATTTGGGAGGGGAATTCCCAAATTTATTGTGTCGAGTATGACCAATTGCCCAGGGGCGAGCGTTAAGTCGCGGCGTCGTCGGCCAGCTTGCTGCGTAGCCCGTTGGTTGGCTTTGAGGATGGCATCGGCGGCATTTTGCAGAGACCGTCAGAGATTTTCAACGAACTGCTGAGATCTTGGTGCCGGGTTTTCTATCGGGGGCGATAGATGGGTTGTCGGATCTATCCCGTAATTAAGGAAGAATGGGGACTGAGTAGTCGTGGCCGATGGGGCGTTGTTGTACGCAAACTCGATCAAGGGAAGGGCGTCCTCCCATTGGGTCGGATCTGTGCACGTCATGCAAATCAGCTGCTCCATCGTCTGATTGGTGCGCTCAGTCTGGCCGTCCGATTGCGGGTGGTACGCCATGGACAACAAATGTGTGTCGTACTATTGCCAGGTTTTTGTCAAGAAGTTGGACGTGAACCGTGGATCACGATCGCTGATGATTGCCGAGGGAATGCCGTGTAGCCGCACGATGTTCGTGAGGAATAGTTTCGCTGTCTGCTCAGCAGTAATTGTCGTCTTGCAGGCGGCGAAGTGGGCCATCTTGGTCAATCGGTCAACGACGACGAGAATCACGTCGTTACCGCTTGGATCAGCAGGCAGGCCAGTGACGAAATCCATCGTCACTTGTTGCCAAGGTCGGCTGGGTGGCTCGAGTGGCTGCAGCAATCCCGCAGGTCGAAGCCGGGACGACTTCATGAGTTGACACGTGGCGAAAGAGGTGACCTACTGCTGCACGTCTGTCGGCAAATCGGGCCAGTAATAATTACGGTTTAGTAATTTGGCGGTTTTGTTGATGTCGTAGTGACCCGAGAAATTCGAGTCATATGCTTCCTGTATCAATAGTTCTCGTAGGGTACGGTAGGCGGGAACCCAAATCCGATTGGTACCGGATTTTAGGTAAAAGGCCCCTTACTTGACCGTCAGTTGGGGATGACTGTTAGTGGTGAAGAATGGGTCGGTACTGTATCCGTGGGTGAATAGACCAGTTAGCAACATATTAGCTTGGGTAATTAGGACTGCGGCGGTGTGGACTGAAGGGTGGGTCAGTGCGTCGGCGATGTTGCTAACCCCCCGTTTGTAGGTGACTCTGTTGTGGAAGTTTGACTCGAGGTAATCAAGCCAGCAAATCTGTCGGGGATTTAGTGTCGGTTGGGCGCGGATGAAGTGTAGCGATTTATGGTCTTTTCATATTGTCACGTCAGCGCCCGTCAGGTAGCAGCGCCAGACTTTGAAAGTGTGAATGATGGCGAGTAACTCCTTGTCGTGGACATGATAATTTCGCTCAGCCGGGTTCAGCTTTCGTGACTCGTAGGCGATCGGTTGTAGGCCTTTGTCGAAGTCTTGTAATAGGACTGCGCCAACGGCCAAATCGCTAGCGTCGGTGATGAGCTCGAACGGACGGTGAGGATATGCAATCCGAAGAACCGGAGGTGTTGTCAGGAAAAGTTTGAGCTTTTCGAACGCAGCCTGCTTCTCTCCCCCCCACTCATAAAACTTGCCCTTCTTCAGGAGAACCGTGAGAGGGGAAGTAACCCCCGCCATGTTCGGAAATGAAATGGCGGACGTAATTGACAAACCCCAGAAAACTCTGAAGTTCGCGGAGATTAGCCGACGGCTTCCTGTCTTGTATCGTCGCAATCTTCTTGGGGTCGATTTTAACTCCGTCGATGGAAATGACATGTCCCAAAAACTCCAGTTCGTGTTTGAAAAACTTGCACTTAGAGCCTTTGGTGATGAGTCGGTGCTGCTGCAAGAGAGAGAAAACTGCTTCCAAATCCTTTAAATGCTGCTCCCGGGTAGTGTTGTAGACCAGTATGTCGCCGAGGTACACGAGGACGCATTTATTCAGCAGCGGTCGAAAAACTTCGTTCATGGTTAACTGGAACGTCGAAGGCGCGTTTGTTAGGCCAAAAGGCATAACCGTGTACTCCTAACTCCCGTACCGAGTCCAAAACGCCGTCTTGTAGCAGTCAGCTTCGTGTACGCGAATTTGGTGGTAACCGCATTGCAGGTCAATTTTCGAGAAGGATTTGGCTCCGCGAAGTTGGTCGATGAGTTTGTCGGCGCGCGGGATAGGATAGCGAGACTTGATGGTAACCCGATTCAAGGCGCAGTAGTCAGTACACATTCGTAGACCGCCACCTTTCTTCGGGGTGAATAGTATTGGAGCTGCAAACGTGGATGTACTGGGGCGAACGAAACCTTTCTCGAGCAAGTAGTCCAGCTGGCTTCGAATTTCATCCAGCTCGGGCAGAGTCAGCCACCATTGAGTCCGAACAGTAGGCTGCGCGCCAGGCTCCAGCTTGATTTTGTGGTCATGGTCCCGCTCAGGAGGCAAACCTGCCGGTAGGTCGTCTGGAAAAATGTCGGCATGTTTCCTAATCACCATCGCCAAGTTATCCGAGACAGCTGCGCAGAGTCTGTCGATGTCGGCAGGCGTGTTGACAGCCGTTGAGGTGATCCATCGGACTGCATACAGTTGCGCCCCTCAAATCATAGCTCGCTTGATCGTCACTGCGCTGACCGTCGATGTGGTCGAATCTTGACAGCTCTACTTGGGTAGTCGTCGCCACTCGCCACTCCATTTGATGTGATAATCGCCCGTCTGCCAGTCGATACTTGGGTTGTATTCGCGCAGCCAATCGCATCCCAGCAGCATGTCGCAGCCGTCCAAAGTTGTCGCCAGCATCTTTGTCGTGAAACTGAAATTTTCGCCGCATGTCACTCGCATGTGAGGTACCCGCTCCCGATTTCAGGCATGCAGCACTCGAGTTGCAATCGCAATTTCTTCGCATTTGTCACGTCCATCAAACTGTGGCTCGCCCCGCCATCAACACATATCTTGATGCGGGTGTCGCCAACTCTCCCTTCAACCAGCACAGGGCGATCAACCGGTTCACCCCCCTTATTCTGCCAGGAATGGTTGATAGCCCAAATCGGCACTATAACCTGGTGGGGGTGGTGGCGTTTGGGTGATGCAGTCAAGTCAGTAGGTGGGCCATCTGCTACTGACGATCTCCATTTCCTGACTGCTTCTTGTCGTTAGGTAAGTTCTTCTTCAGCTGCGGGCAGTTCCTCACCATGTGGCCCGGCTGGTTGCAGTGGAAGCAGGTTCCCGAAAATACTCGGGCTGCAAACACGTCCACGTCGTTGATTGATGTGTGTTGAGGCTGGCCTCGAAAGCGATTTCCCTCCCGGAAACCCGCTCTTGCGAGTCCACGTCGTGCGTCGAGTGTGTCTGCTATGCGAACTATTTCGTTGAATGTCGCCGGGGCTCGCAGGACGATCTCTTGCTGAATCTCCGGCTTGAGACCACCCACGTAGCGATCGATGTGCTCGTCTTCGCTAAGCCCTCCGATTTGGTCGCAAATTGCCAGAAATGATGCCGTGTATTCTTGGACAGAGCCCAATTGTCTCAACATCCGAAGCTTTGTGCGAGCATTTTCGCGCATAGATATGTGCTCGAATCTGCCCTTCAAAGCTCCGCCCCACGCTTCCACGTGCGGATCATGGCCGACCCAAAGTTCGGTTCTGCATTCGCCGTTGATGAACTCAGCTCCCCATCTACCGCCCGTGATTCCCCGCTGGGGCTCCTCCCTCGTCAAGATGCATGCGCCACCAGTCGAGTGCCGGTCCCCTTAGCAGCGACACAGCCTTTGACACGTGATGCGTTGTCATTAATACTTGCTGCCGTCAAGAAGATTTCCATGGCGAACAGCCACCCGCTCACTATAGTTGTCCTGTCGGTTAGGTTGAACGGTGGATGCATTGGTGGTTTGATTTTAATGGCCGTCCGTGGCTCGCTATGGACTTCAACTGCTTCAGGTGTCGCCGACGCCCTCGCTTCGCTCGCAGCATCTTCGTCTCAGGTAACAGGCCGCCCCTGACGCGTTTCACCCCGCGTCTGGCGAAGCGACGAGTTTTCGTTGCGCAGCATCTCAACTTCGCTTCCCAGTGACTCGAACTTATTGGCGAGTTATTGAAGCTGGGCCTGCAGTGTCGTCATTGTAGCCGTAAAACTCCTCCTGAGTTACGTTCCTAACACTACGACGGACACAGGTTTCCGACGTGGCAGACATGCTGGAAATTTTACCTGACAGATCTGAGGGTGCACACGCTTTTAGTTGGAGGAGCTT